AACTCATGCAAATCCGAGGTACTCTGATATCTACTTTTCCAAAATATAAAATGCAAATGGACCAGGTAAACTCCATATAAATTCAATAAACATGAACAAAGCACCTGTTATGTAGCCAGCAGTATGCTATCACCTATGAAAATGATGAGAATAAACATAACCCAGTGCATCAGACCTTAATATTAATGTCATTCAGTAGAAGAGTCACACATATGAAAATTAAAAAAACAAAAATACAGTATAATGTGTCACGTTAAAGTGCGCTAGACGTTGCAGGTACTTACTATTTATTGCTCTTAACAGTATTATGGAAGACAATGTATTAGCTCTAATTTGGCAGTAATGATTACATTTCAGATCTTTCCAGATAAACTGATTTTTTTTTAGTTAAAATAGTTTCAAACTATTTTCAGATCTGTCAGTTCAGGCCAGTGAACTCCTCGTAGGAAGGTTACAAGGTTGTCGTCACTTAATATCCTTGATTGATTGATTGAACTTTAGGACAATGAAGGAGGAAAATACTGTAGTTCTCTGGAGATCTTTCTTTTGTTCCTAGAGTACTTAAACTCTTTATTTTGTTATTATTGTGTTATTTTCTCACACGGTGTGACTATACATATCAATATTAAATTATGTTTAATGTGAATATCAAATGTTCTATTCTCACTGATATCCTGAATTTATAAAAATCATTTAAATTAATTCATGATGAAAATAAGCCAACCAGAAGATGTAACTTAAAAGATTAAAAAGATTGTGGGATAAGTGTGCAATCATTTGTCATCCAATTATTCTCAAATGTTTAAGATAAATCAATAAGGTTTGAGACTTTAGAATATTAAGTGTTTGGTTATGAACTTGAAATAAACTCGTTTTTCAAAACACACCAAATAAAAAATTTTAGTAAGATGATTTGGAGGATGTACTTGCAAAAGCTACTCTAAGGGCAAACACCATTTACCAGCTTATTTGACTTAATTTAGCCAAGGATTTGCATTCCCCGTAAGGTTGTTTCAAATTTTAATTTTATTCATATCCCCATCCTGATACTACTGCCCTTACAATACCCAACTTGTGAAATGAGCCTCTAATTATTTTAATTGATAAAAATCAGGAAACTCAACACTGCCTCACTATCAGCCCCTCTATACCTCCTTGCTCATCTCATAACCTGTCCTTCAAACTCAGAAGAAAGCTATGCCTCCTCTCTTTGCCAGGGCTAACCCTGTCCCTGTAATTCTCATCATCCTCACCCTTGCACCTTCACATTTATTCTTATTTTTTCTCTAGGGAAGCATAAAAAGAAAACGGTTAAGTATTCTTCCTCGATATGAAGAGGGAGGGAAGGAAGAGAGAAAGAGGGAAGAAGTGAGAAAAGCAGGAAAGTTGGGGGGAGGTAGACAGAGAAAGGGAGGGAGGGGGACAGAAAGAGGGAGAGAGATTTAGCGCTTCTATACAAGAAAAATAGAATGTTACTCGACTGGAAACATGGGCATTCTTCCAAAACAAGGTATTTACAAAGCCCAATTCCTTCAGATTTCAAACTACTACAAACACAGGTCAGCCTGCAAATCAAATAAGTGTTTCCCACCTACTTCTCACTGCTGCTCCCTCAGCTTTAACCTGCTGTATGTAACTGCAAATGAAGCTTCAGCAAATGTTTGCCTGTTTTCCTAACACGGCTTGGCCAGGAGTTGTGAATGTTGGCTCAGAAGACCTGAGTGAGCAGTGACCAGCCAACAAGCCTCACAGCTTAGCACTGGGTAGGGCCATGAGCCAGAGTGGGCCTTGGCTCTCTGCAGAAGAGAGTTATCCTAACTAATCACAGCAAAAGGAAGGGAGGAGGTTCTGTTCTACTCATGCAAGTCAAGTTGGCTAAATTCTGTCATTTTCTAAGCCTCCTATAAATGTGAAAAAAAATATCCCATGACCTAACTTCTATGTAGTATTATTGATTTGTTTCCCTTTCAAGATGCTGAAGACTTCCCAAAAAGGAAACCTACATTACTTTTAATTTGCCACAGAGCTTGGCTTTGCATCAGTCATCTTAAGAAAATCTAAGAACTTCAAAATGCATTAATCCCCAGTGAACTGAATCTTTCTAAAATATTCAGTTTTAGTGTTTTGGCAAAGTAGTCCCATGTCACTAGCTTAATTGCTGCCAGGTTATTTTCCAGTTGTCAAATAATCTTTTCCTATTTAAGAGTCAGAAATAAAAACATTCACTCATAAAGGAATTGAATAATTTGGATCACAAACAACATAAGTATTTATTTGAAAAACATTTTCTATTTAAGTAAAATGGCAAATCAGGTATAGTAGCTTCTTACTACTAATTCTAATTTGCACTCACAGTCACTTTTTATTCATCAAATTCAGAGATACTGCTACAGAAAACTATTTCACAAAGTATTTAGAAAAAAATATATACAGTCTCTCTGATAAAAAGTTAATTAAAAGAACAAAGCCAGGCAATATAAATGTAAGATATAAAACAAGCTCACATTTATGAACACAAATAAATAAATATATACAAAAGAGTCTACATCAACATTGAACAAATAAAAGCTTTACAATGCAAGTCATCGTGACAGCAATGGAAAATATCTCAGGATCTTAGACTGACTCTAACATAATGTTAAAAAAAAGGAAAAAGAAGAAAATAAAAAACAACCAAAAATACCCCAGAGAGTCTAAATTGATATTATTCTCAAAGTTAAGCTAAACTAAATTTTGGCCCCACAGCTAAATTCCTATATTTCTGTTCTGATGCGAGGCTAGATGGAGGTGAGCATTATGTGCGCAGAACTGAGGGTAGAATTTGACTCAGTCTTTTAAGTCCACTTGCAAATGCTTCTATTCAGCTGTTTATCCATTTTTTCTTTCCTTACCTGATTATTGGAAATTTATAAAGTGGAGCTGATATTGTTGTCAAATTTGAAAAAAAAAAAAAAAAAGTTTTCCCAGATCTGGATGAATACAAGTAGAAATCAAAGCTATTTTTAAAGCTATCTCTTAATTACTTTTAACTAAATAAGCACTTTGGGTAGAAATCTCACAGTCAAAAGCTAATTAAATTCTACCATCTCTAAGGCTTGGGGGAAAGTATATGAAGATTCAGTGACTATTTAAGGTTAATTTTCACCTAGTTGTAACCTCTGCCAAAATAAGCAGCCTGTTAATATATATGCCTAGAGAAAAGGGCATGGCTCTACTGTAGGGTCTTAGTGACCTTAGATTTACTATCCTTTCCTACTACCTACACCCCTCCCCTGTGAAGGCCAAGCTGGGCAATGCTCCTGTCTTCCAGAACAGTGTTCCAGGAGGCTACAAAATGGAACAGTATGAAAACCCATTAGCATATTATCATCCATTTAAGTCTGGCCAAAAGCTTCATGATTGAAGATCAGCAAAAGCTGAGAGGCCCCTTGTTTGCTGCATAGCCTGAAAGCTTTCCTACGTTTCAGACTGAGAGCTACCTGCTTCCTGCACAGAGAGAAAGGTCCCCAGGTGCTCAGTCTGGCTTCTGCCTTTAAGCAGTTTGGTTCTGCCAGAATGTTTCGTCTTCTCATCACTTAGGCTGCCACCTCCCAGAACCTGAAACATCTCAGATAACCCAGAGCAAATGTAAAGGTACAGCATGTACTGAGACCAATTTCTAAGAAACTGGATATGAGTCTGTCATTTAAGAACAATTAAAATGTGGTCTCTTACACATTCACTAGCAAACATATTACTCAGGATAGTTTGACGGGTAGGTTAAGCTGCTTAATATTATGCATGGCTTATATGCAGAAACTTAATCCATAAATAACACCCCATCTGTCTTGCCAGACCTCCTCTGGCTCTTATAATCAGAGGACTTATGTACAAATAGTTTGCAGACTGGCAAGTGTAGACCCACACAATTATAAATTATTTTGATTATGATAAGTCACCCACCTAAGTCTCAGTTTATATGCTTTGGAACAAAATTCTGGAAAAAGGAAGTAAGAGGCTTTTCATTTGTGCAAATGGAAATGTCTTAAAAAGTCTCTGGAGCAAAGACAAGACCATAGAGTCTCAATGGTTGTTTTTCCCAAAAGGGAGAGACTACTGTACACGGCATGCCTAATGGAAATCCGTATTCCTCCCATGAGCCCGCAGCTCAATGTACAGTAGAGCAGCAAAAGCAGAGGTGTAAGAGGGTCATTCTTCAGCTCCTGGGAGCTCCACTCTAATGGAACATCAACACTAAACTTGATTCAAATGTACAGGACTAAATTATAATTAATGATGATGCTTAAGCTTTGTGTCTTGAATAGGAAAGTGAAATAACATGGCCTCTTATTAACTAGGTCAAAATTTGGGGAATTCTTTCTTTCCTAAGCATGTTGTGGTCTTCAGGGTTAAACATCTCAGATAATAAGAAAAAATTCCTTTCTAAACTTTGAGTCAGACATTAAATACTCTTTTGTATCTGTGGTTGAAATTTCATTTAAAAAGAGGAAATGCTAATGCATTCATAGAAACTAGCACTGAGATAGGACCTGTGGGCATCCAAGATAGTTATAAATATTAGTATGCTTTTGATCGCAGAGAAAGGTGATGGAGCAAATGGCCATATCCAAATCTAATTATTATGTGGGGTGTGAATGAGCTCTAAACTAGGGCTTGTCCCAAGCTCGGCCTGTCCCTTGCCTTTTAATTTTAATATTCCACCCCACAGCCCAAGTTCTGATTGATCCATTCAATCATATAGTTAAAAAATCCTATCCCCTGTGGCTACTGAGTCGTGCTGCTCTTAGTACTGAAGCTTAGTGATGGTGGAAACTCCCCCATGGGAGAAATACACTGAAAAGACAGATTTTGAATTTCACAAAAGCCTTTTTCACAAAACACATTCTTCATATATATGCAGTTACCTAGGTAATACCACCTTTACATCTGCTAGTCAGTTTTCACAGCTTGCACATCTTCACGTTGCTGCAGACTGATGTCTCTTCCTTATATTAAAGATATTAAAACTTTGTGCTGTGGCTGAAGGTGTCTGACATGATAATATTTTTATAGAAATTATCTGAATGAGCATTGCAATATCCCTTGACCTTATCAATGACCTGATGGACAGGGATGATTGATGTTTGTTCTCCATCAGCATGGGTCAGTTTTGATGAGGACTTGTCCATGGATGCATTGTCTGCAAGAAATGATACAAGAAATTAGGCTGCAAGATGAGCTGGTGACATGCCTAAGGGCTACCGTTCTGGATGCTCTATTTTGCACATTAAAGAAGATCACAAAGGAAATGAAGCTCTGGTTCTTTCTTAGTTTAGGTAAAATAGGCAGCACTAAAATGTCATGTTTTTCATCTTCAAAGTGCATCTTTGCATATGAAAGAATGTTAATGGGCCTTCTAGTAATTTGTGTTGGGAGTTGTTTCAAGAAATATTCTTGTAAGTGGTATTTTTCAAAGAACCAGTGAATAGAATAATCAGAAAATTGCTGCAAAAATATATGTGGCAAATCAATCAAACAAGGTAGTAACAGATTATATAACAAATGAATTAAAAGGTGCTGAAATATCTGTGGAAGAAATGATATGATGTCTATGATGTGTTTTCAAAATAATACACGGAGGGGAAAATGGGTAGGTGGCTATGAGTTGATATGAACAAGGAGATTCATTATATTATCCTCTCTATTTTTCATATGTTTGACACTTTCATAATACAATTTTTAATAAAATATAATTTAAATAATTTTGGAAAAGACAAGTGAATAAAAAAAACATAAAGGCTATTTTGAACACATTTTCTCATGGAAAAAACCTGTGAAATGACTGCAATATAGAAAAAAGGTATCTTTTATTAATTATTTTTAAATTATAAAAATCAAAATTATCTTTATCAGAAATATTTTAAGTATATATTTTCTTTAACTATGCTATAGTCTCAGAATGATGTTATTGCTGGCAGCACTAATATCAGAGCAATTGATAGTAATAAAGGACTGCTAAATATATTTCTGTTCTGAATTTCCCAATATCACATATTTAAACATTATTTTCCTAGACCCAAAGCTTTCTAAAAGTGGTACAGCTTAGTGCCCTGAAACTCAGCTAAGCACTATTATCTACAAATACATATGGCTGTCTTCATGTATCTTGTAGGTATCTGCTTTCCACATTTTGGAGAAAAATGCTGTCTTAAAATTAACTACAGAGATTTCACATCAATGAAAGAGCAAATGACCTTCTACAAAGTCCTGAGTTCCCTACAGTTGTATCTTTTCTATTCACTGTGGAAGAGGCAAAAACTCTATCATGAAAACCTGCTTCTAGGAATCATGGCTGAAAAATTGGAATGTTCACTCTAGGTGTTTTATATTTTGAGTAAGTTTGACCCAGTAAGTGACATAACATTAAAAATCCTCAATAATTGGTAAAAGCCATCATCATTTTATCTGTTGTCTTTGGAAACGGCTCAAATTGTTCAAGTGTGGTCTTGGTGTTGGAGCAGACACTAAATAAAATGAAGGCTAAAATAGAAAATGGAGTGTCTATCCCACTAAAGGAAGCAAGAGAGAACAGATGGCCTTTGGGAAGAGTGGGCAGACCAAAGCATGGTGGAATGATTATGTCCCAGGATTGGTGAGAAAAAAGCTCAGGGAGTCATTTTATAAGGCCCCCTCCCCATTCGGCTCTCAGCAAGCTGACTGATTCCGTGCTTTCCTTTAGTTCATACGTTCACTAGCCATTGGTTTTCTGTTGGGAATTTTTCTATTGACTTAAATCTCAATAATGAACAATTTGTACTTGATGTTTTTAGAAAGCCACACATCCTCAAAGAAACTTCAAGGATACAATCACTCTGCTTCGCTGACAACTTCCAGGGTCACATTCTTTTTAGAGATTTTGACCAGCTCCATTCCAAATACGTGACCCAATTTTCTGGGTCTTCACCGTCTAAGAAGGTAAAATTCTGAGCAAGGTTTCTATTTCAATATATATGTTATTCCCAGTCCTCTGGGTAGCTATTATATTGTGGATAATATAGATTTTGATTATGGCTGCAAGTTTGAAAACCAGGGGCTAGGGAAATGAACTATTATTTGACCTATGCTTAAATTTCAAGCAGACAAAAGTCCTCAAAAAGCAGGCTTGGAATCGACAATTTCTCTTTTATGACTTCTGTGAATGTACTGTGACATATCCAGTAATTCATAAGAGCAGTGAAAAAGTAAAGAATTTCACTCTGTTCTATAACAAACCTCTCAAGTACTGCTTTTTTTTTTTTTCTCATTATTTTACCTGATAATGTGACCCACTAACTCCAGAGCATGGTACATTTCCTAGAAGGAGCGGCTTGCAGACACCCCCATGCAGAGAAGAGCCAGCACAGCACAGGACCATTTGAAATTTCAGAAATTCCAGCTCAATGCAGGAATTTCCTTGTGCTAGCCGAGAAGTATTGTAAAGAAAAAGCAACTTTGCTGGTGCGGCAAGAGTCTTAGTTTAATCCATGCAAATATTCTCTTACTACCTTGCAAAAAATTCATGCATTCAAAGAAGTAATAAAAGTTTACCTGAATGATCCACTTTTGTTGAAGGAATGCTCTTAGAAGACATTATCTACACCATAAACATATGAATCAATGCCAAGAAATAAACCATCTAGATATCCATGATGCTATGCAGTGACTTTTTGCATACCCTGAGTGACCCAAGTACATCAGCAGTTTCACTGAGAACTGGCTAGCTCGCAGAAGACCGTTTGTACGTCAGCTGATTGGAAACTAGAATTTATTATACCATGGAAGTAATGTCATACAGCTGACTACATCCTTATACTTGTTGACAAAAACCCATTTAACCCCAAGGATTTTAAAAGAAACAGAAAAACATTAATGAATTCTTAAAAAAAAATACACAAGATTTTGAAATAGTTAAGTTTTCCTTAGGTACCCCCATTTCTGCAATTCATTTTATCTTCTAGTCAGTTTTCCCCATGATGCTTACTATTTCCAAATACTTTAATACTTCCAAAATGTCCTCTGTTCCAAATTATGTACTTTGTTATCTTCTTTCGCCTTTTAATAGTGGTTCTTTAGGCCAACTATTAGCTGTGTTAAGAGGAAAACAATTCAATTGGTCTAATTCCTATTCATTCACAACTGACTTACAATGCATTAAGTATTTGCATTTTAGAAGGGGAAACAAAATGAGTATCTGATTTTAAGGCTGATTAAATAAAGTAAAAAATTCACTCATTATAAGTACAGTTGAGCCTTGAACAATGGCAAGGGTTAAGGGCACTGACCCTCCTGCACAGTTGAAAATCTGAGTATAATTTACAGTTGACCCTCTGTGTCTGAGGTTCCTCTGTAGCTGCAGTTCTGTATCCACGTATTCAGCCAACTGTGGATCATGTACTACTATTTGTTGTTTTTACTACTGAAAAAAGTCTGTGTTTAAGTGGACCTGTACAGTTCAAACCTGTGTTGTTCAAGAGTCAACTGTACAAGATGTTTTGTGCCAGGGAACTAGCAATTAGGTAGAATTATCTATCTCAGACTATATGCCTGTTATTAATTTTCTTACACAGGTGTTTTGAGCAGGAGTGCACAGACCTCTTAATTTTAGGCAAAACTGTTTGTGTGCAGGACTCAAAGGCTGCACTCAAAGGCTGGAAGAGAGTCCGTAGCTTATATTCAATTCCCCAAAACGTCCCTGACTCCAAGAAACTTTAAAAACTGCTGTACTAAGCTGCTCCAAGTTTTCAGATCTTTCTTTACTTAACCTTGGAATTAAAAACCTCAGTAAACATTCATACTTTTTTTCCACAGTGCTATCTTGAATCCCAGGCAGTGGGGACCCTAGTGGCGCAAGCAAGGACATGTGGAAGGATTCAAATGTACATACGGGTCATTTGAAATTCAAATGTTTGCAATGTGAACATTTATAGACACATTACACAAATCACTCCCTGCTTGCAAAAAGCTAAATATGAATCTTTTTGGTGCCATTCGCCTTTGCCTACATTAATTAGTTAAACAAATACAAAATTTAAAATTTATTTCCATTATCCTTTTAGAATCATCTTTAATTAGGAAAGTGCTGGATGCTGAGTGTTGAGAGCTGATTGCTCGAGGTTTAATTAGTATTTAAAAGTAGAATTTCTGCTATTTTCAATTGAAATTATTAAAGGATTACACCTTTTCACACTGCTCACTGGCTATCAAGGACTGCAAAATAGTCTTCACAGGCTTATGTCATTTTATTTCACTTCACTTTGTTGTCCTTCATAGAGATTACAGTTTTTTGGTTTTTTTTTTTGCTTCCTTCTTTCATAAAGTATTTTTTTTAACATCTGTATTGGAGTATAATTGCTTTACAATGTTGTTTTAGTTTCTGCTGTATAACAAAGTGAATCCACTATACATATACATATATTCCCCATATCTCCTCCCTCTTGCCTCTCCCTCCCACCCTCCCTATCCCACCCCTCTAGGTGGTCACAAAGCACGGAGCTGATCTCCCTGTGCTATGTGGCTGCTTCCCACTAGCTATCTATTTTACATTTGATAGTGTATATATGTCAATGCTACTCTCTCACTTCGTCCCAGCTTACCCTTCCCCCTCCCCGTGTCCTTAAGTCCATTCTCTACGTCTGTGTCTTTATTCCTGTCCTGCCCCAGGTTCATCAGAATCTTTTTTTTCTTTTTTTAGATTCCATATATATGTGTTAGCATATGGTATCTGTTTTTCTCTTTCTGACTTAATCTCTCTGTATGACAGACTCTAGGTCCATCCACCTCACTACAAATAATTCAATTTCATTTTCTTTATGGCTGAGTAATATTATATTGTATATATGTGCCACATCTTCTTTATATTTTTTTATAAATTATAGTTTTTATAAATTGAAGTTTTGTGGCAACCCTGTGTGGTCAGATAACGGATAAGCATTTTTTTAGCAATAAAGTACTTTTTAAAGTTAAGGTGTGTACATTTTTTGACATAATTGTATTGTACACTTAATAGACTGCAGTATAGTGTAAACATAATTTTTATAGGCACTGGGAAACCAAAAACTTTGTGTGACTCTATTGCAATACTTGCTTTATTATAGTGGTCTGAAACCAAATTCACAGTATGTCCAAGGTCTGCCTGTATTTGCACACTGTCTTCAGGGTTGTTCATATACATGCTCAGTGTCAGAAAGTGTGATCATTGTAAATATCATGAAGATTCAGTAGATGAACAAAGACACAGTGTTTCTCACCATCCTGTATCACATTCCAAGTATGATGCTCCCTATTTCATACTTAGTCAGTGATTTGAAGAGCAATTGCCAATAACTCTTCCAATGGTTAAGGACTTAGGTATTTTTTTCTTGTTTGACTGAGGAATAATTGACATATATCATTATATTAGTTTTAGGTGTACAACATTATGATTTTATATTTGTATATATTTCAAAGGACTTAAGTCTTAACTGTAACATGTAAGCTGGATGGTATTTCTTTCTGTTCCCATGCCAACTTGCCAAGTAACTTTACTACTATGCTGAAATAATCTACAACTCAATTTCTGTATTTTTAAAATAAAAACACATAACTTTTTAAAACAAGATACCATACCTTTTAAGGAAAATTAAGTTTTAAAGCAAATGAAGCTACAAAAATATTCAGAGTTAATGATATCCTGGCAATATAGATTCAATTTTGGTTGTAATATTTTTAAAAAAGACAAAATATTCACAAAGATGTCCCAGAGAACATCTTTACCATGGCCAGAATGACTCACCAGTGTGGCTATTCCTTTTGAAGTAGGTGGTAGAGCTGTATTTAGACTTGGATGTAAGGTAGGTTGAGTTAGAGCCAATGGAGCTTGAGGACAAAGATTTTCCTAGATTATCAGAACTTTTCTTGATGATATTGGTAGCTGTCTTACTCCAGTCTGAAAGAAATGACATCTCTCCATGAGTCTGCTTTAGGGGGAATATATTCTGCCCTGAAGAATCATCACCACATTATTTAAGTAACTGGTCCAGAGCATTAGACATTCTGACACCCTGGCAGTGACTCACACAAGAGACTGACATGTCAACAATAACAACCTGAAGAAGCATAAAAGTTTCTTACTTTGACCCTATGTTTAAAATTATACTTTAATATATTAAGGGTGAGAAGTAACCACTGGTGGTTAAAAAAAAAAGTTATGTTTTTCTTCCGGGATTTTTTATATTGAGAAAGAGCTCTTTGCCTAATAATGTAATTAAAGACTTAAAAAATATGGAAAGGTATGTATGGTAGAGTGGATATATGAGTTGTTAAATTAGACATGAAACCTTGGGCAACTCACTTAACCTTTCTGGAATTCATGCTCCTCCTTTGCAAAATAGGAAAGTCAGGCCTAGAGTCCTCAGATCTCTTGCAGTCCTAATAATCTAAGACTACAACTAAGCATCTTTATATACTCTGCCTTTACAACTTGCTACCACTGGGACTGGGTTGCCCAGACCACAGAAAATCAAAATGACAAAGGTTTCTAACTACTCTCCGATGTAAGAAAAACGATCACCAACATGCTCCTTTACCTGAGTTGTCTGCTAATCGAAATCGACCACAGCAGAGATGCCGTCTCCACTGCTTCTGAACATTCTCCTTCATAGCACAGTGGAAGATAAATATAAATAAGCCTGGGACGAAAGAAAATATAAACAATTAGGCCAAAGGACACATTTTTAAAGATAAACCTTACAAAACATATGGATTTATTTTAATTTAAATTTTTTTACATCCGAATCACTAAGAAACAGATCCTAAGGAATCTTTAGGTATGCAGTAGATGTTTTAATCTTTTAGAACAGAACATGGAGGCTCAGATAAAACTAGAACAATTACATGGATCTAATTCTGTCTTTGTTTTGTTTGGTATTCGTTATGACTTAACCTAAAGACTAAGCTGAAATAGGCAATATTCAATTTAAGAGGCATTTATATTTCCCTTATATCTGTTTTAAAATTATGTGAAAACATTTCACAAAAAAAGAGAAAACTGACAATGTCCATGAGCTCATCATCTATTTCAACTTGTATATTCTAACCTATTTTATGTAAGCATATTATTGTAAGTTTGGGCAATAGAAAAGTGGTATTTTTACAAGTCAAAAATGGGCCCAAATCAGCAAATTCATGTGGCTTCACCTGGCCTGCTTTAGTTTCTCAATACTTTAATGCAGAAATATTTCTGTATTGTCAAGTAGTCTTCATATGTAGTCACTCCCTGCATCTATCAAAAACTAATTGTATCATTTGTGCTTTGGGAGCCAACCCCTTTTAACTTTTCAAGGAATTTGCTTCTGCCTTTTTATTCTCCCTTTGCTGCCTCAATTTCTCCCTCTATTCCTCCATACTTGGGTTATTCCCATTACTTACAAGCATACTCTAGTAACTCTCTTTTAAGTAATCGAACAAAAAATTTCTCCTTTGAGCCCCAATCTTCTCCCAGCTTCCACTTCTTCATTCCCTTTCCAATAAAACTTGAAATGGTTAGCTTTCGCCATCTCTACCTTTTCTCATTTCTTTTCTTCTCAACCTGCTCCAAATAGGTCACTATCTACATCTACAAGGCCACTACAACTGCTCTTGTGAAGGTCACGGGGACTTCCCTATTGCTAACTCAGTTTTCATTTCTGTTTTACTAGATCTCTCAACAGTATTCAACACAATTGACCATTCTCTCATTTTTGAAGTACATTCTTGGTACCACTTTCTCCTAGGCGTCTTCTTAATTTGCTTCCTGGTCTCTGTAGCACATCCCTCGGCTTTACTTTTTTTTTTGTTTTTTTTGTGGTACATGGGCCTCTCACTGTCGTGGCCTCTCCCGTTGCGGAGCACAGGCTCCGGACGCGCAGGCCCAGCGGCCATGGCTCACGGGCCCAGCCACTCCGCGGCACATGGGATCCTCCCGGACCTGGGCACGAACCCGCGTCCCCTGCATCGGCAGGCGGACTCTCAACCACTGCGCCACCAGGGAAGCCCCCTCGGCTTTACTTTTAAAGGTTGACACATCCATGACTCAGCCCTGGATTTCCATCTTTTCTATGGCTACACTGTCCCAGTAGGTACTAATCATGCCATATAAGTACCATACACTACTTTTTATATGTGCCCCCATTGCCTTCTCTCCCCACCACCACCACCAGGATTCCAACCCACACTGCTTGCAGGACATCTTCATTTGGCTGTATCTCCATTTTGTTGCATCTCACACCCTCAAAGAAACACATCGAACTCATTTCTGCCCAATAATTTGAAGGCTCTTCCTTCAAAGCTTTCCCTAACAGGTTCTTACCTGTCATTCAGGCCTCAGATCAATTGTTAACTCCTCAAAAAGGCCATCATCCACTTTTTATTTTTATTTTTTATGTTTTAGATCACACCCTTGCACACACCTATTTTCGCTATAGCACAGATCATTACCTGATATTCTTGTATTCCTAATTTATTCATTTATTTCTTTGCTTAACTGTCTCTTGCTAGTAAATAATAAGCTACAAGAGCAAGCGATGTTTGTCTATCCAGTGTTGTACTAGTCATTCCCAGAATGATGCCAGGAACTAAGCAGGAACTCCATAAATGTTTGTTGAATGAATGAATAGTAACCATGATTAATCGCTCATCTATTCTACATGAGTTAATTGAATACTTACATGTACATCTGAATGCCTTAAATGTATTTAGGGGTAGGGGCTTAAAAAATAGGAGTGAGAAGAACACAAATTAAGGAGTCACGTGAATACAATGAAAATATATTTAAGGCAAAAGTTTCTGAAAGGTATGCAAATTAGTTGCCAAGGTATTACCTTAATGACACACCATATTAAGCAGGATATCTATATAAGGGAGGGTGCACGGGCTTAAACTGAACCTGAAGAAACCTTTTGGTAGAGAGGTGAGGGAAGTTTCCAAGAGGATACTCCATTCAGTGACTACTAAGCACTGCTAAGCAGGAGGCACTTTGATTTAGGAGCTGGAAGTTCAGAGGGGAACAAGGTAGATGATCATTGCATTCAAGGGGCAAAGGGACAGCATAAAAGTAAAAATGATTATAGGACCTTTAGGGGACATTAAGACTTATCTGTTCTTTTTGAGTATGGAGTACTCATCAAGAAAAATGTAAATCACACTGTAGCACACATAACTGGAAAAGTGGGGGGAAGTACTGAAAGTACTCTTTTTTTTAATGTGTATAGCTACATTTGCAAAATAGATCTAAGGTTATGCTTGTATGTTTTATTTTTCAATATCTTAGCTGAAAGTGGCCCATAATTTTATTGCAGAATAAATTACATTCTTATGAACTATCAGAAAAAGGAGTGTGCTGGGTTTCTACAGGCTGGGCCCTGGCCGCAGGGAAATGACCGCGGCTGATTCTCTTCCTCTGAGTTTGGCTTGTTTGCTCATCACTGAGTACCTGACACTTACTTAGAAGGTGCTCTATAAATTCCTAATGAAGTTACTGGTTGAAAATCATTACATATGTTGACTCATAGAGGAATGCCATTATGAAAATACTGATTAAATTTTGGTCACTGCTTCCGAATAGACAACTAGCCTATTAAAACATTCCTGGGAGGGGTTTCCCTGGTGGCGCAGTGGTTGAGAGTCCGCCTGCTGATGCAGGGGATGCGGGTTCGTGCCCCGGTCCGGGAAGATCCCACGTGCCACGGAGCGGCTGGGCCCGTGAGCCGTGGCCGCTAAGCCTGCGCGTCCGGAGCGAGGCCCACGTCCCACACACACACCCACACAAAATTCCTGGGAAATGCAAACACATTTACCTCTGAGAAGTACAAATAAGGCAGTCAATGACCTAAGTAGTATTAGTAATCAGTAATAGTACCATTTTATTTATTATTATTACTATATAATTTTATACATATTTATTTAAGTAAAACACTTATTTTATTATTATATTACTTATTAATAATACTTTATTAGTAATAAAATAATTAGTGAAGAAAATATATCCTAGTGACCTAGTTATTTGTCTAAGATGATATCAGATAGGATAGGGGAGTTCTAATTTTAAAAGCTCTAATAAATATGAATCAAATTTCATTCATTCAGAAAATACACACCCACACACACCCCTCCTGAAAGTCCCTGTGCTGTGGACAAGGAGGGAAGCTGGGTTGGGGAGGGAGAGCTGGAGACAAGAAATCGACTTGCAGCCTGGCCTGGAGCTCGGACCTGACAAGTCTCAGAGTGGGAGAAAGACTTTGCTCCACACTCAAACCCCCTCAGAGTCAGGACCTGCAGGTGGATCTACCTTCCCAGGAAGTACAGGATAGACACTGGGTTCGGACCCCATCTTCATACTCTGACTAAATCTGATTGCCTTTCAAAGCCTTCCTCACCGACAAACCCCCAAGTCCCTAACCTGCTTGCTAACACAGAAAATCCCTTTAATAAGCACACATGTTCTGTAACACGGGTAGTATGAATACCCAAAGAATATATAAAATGTGGATGGGTTTCTCTTTGAGAATCTTTCAAGTCTTTAAGAGGTGGTGACAGTTTCAGAGTAAAGAGAGCAGAAGGCATGGAAGCTTGAGGTGACGTCATCATAGGTTACAGATGAAGGAGCCTGTGGTTGGAGAAGGAATCCTTTGCCTTGGCTTGACTCTATTTTTGTGAACTGGGGCAGAATTTGCAGAGTTTGTTGTTGGAGGTATTTCTGTCCTACAGCTGAAAATATAGCTAACCACACGTTTCTTAAACAATTGTTTAACAAACTCACGTATCAGAGCTGTAAAAGATTATAAACTCCAATTAAGGACTTTTGTTCTAAGGCATCAATCCTGGCATTACTCGCTCTCGGGTCCCACACTGAGCAAATGATTTTCTTTTAGTTGAGGCAGAAGTTGAAAATTTCTAGATGTTGTTTCCCTTAACACTCAGAAGTTTTTATAAATGTCATATATATCGGAGGAAAAACTTCAGAGCATATGTCTGGTGTTTTGAGGACACTGGAAGAGACCTAGTTCTTGGATTTGCTCCTTTGGCCTTGCTGGGATATTAAGATGTGAATTATTTTGAGGCTCTGATGCTGACCACAGTCACATGGGAGCAGGTTAAAGCTAAGAAAAACTGACTTAATAAAACAATTTTTTAGATTGTGCAGTGCTGCTCTGTATCATAATTACATAGCATTAGATGACACTGCCTCCTTTTAAGTAACCTGTAAATATACAGGCACCCACTAAGTTTAAGAGACACGTATATAAATTAGATTTAAACTCTGATACATCTCCTCTAAAATTATTTGATCGAAGTCATTTACATGCTCTGTCTCCCACTATGAGTTGTGATGCTATGGGACAAAAGCAGATAATAGGCGTGAGAATTAGAATTCTCTGGAATAAATATATATTAAAATTCCAAGGTATTATGCAGATTCTTTAGCCATGAGATATGTTTCCATTTTAAATTAGAATAGGATTCTCATAATAGATTATTTTACTATTTGTAGTAACTAGCTCTTTTCACATGAATTTAAATCAGTCTGGCAATAAATATTATCCCAAGATTATTTTAGGACAAAATATCCCTCTTAGAGTTCAGCTGTGGGAAACGTGGAAGGTATCCACATCTGGAAGAGCACACATGCCGTATGGAAAGAAATTCTGAACAC